GGGGGTGGGGCAGGGCCCCGGGGGTGGAAGGGCCGGGTCGGGTGTCAAGCCGGGAACAGTTTCCAGTTTTATCGCTGACACCATTTCTTCGTCTGAAACAGGAGCTTCTCACAGGCCTGACCTGTGTCTCCCCCGGGCCTCAGCAGCAGGGGACGCTGGGCAGGAGGACCAAGAGGGAAACTACTGGAAGCAATGACAGGTTTGTGAGCACCCAGAACGGCGGTGGGCGTGCGGGTGAGAGATAAGGAGCCTTCTGGGTGGCTTCAAACTCAGGGCTGCATTCTGTGTTCTCATCTGAACACAGGACCCATATTCACACACCTCAGCGAGTCACCTGAGAAGCTGCCCTGTGGGGCCTGGCTGGGAGCAGAGGCATGAGGGGAGCCCCTCGGAGCTGCCTTCTGGGCTCATGCAGGACGTCCCGGCCCATCAGCCCACGGTTTGCACGACACATGCCTATGTTGGTTCATTGCAGCAGCGTTTACAATAGCAAAGACCTGGAACCAACCCAATGCCCATCAATAACAGACTGGACAAAGAAAATGCAGCACATGACACCATGGAATACTATGCAGCCATAAAAAAGGATGAGTTCATGTCCTTTGCAGGGACATGGATGAATCTGGAAACCATCATTCTCAGCAAACTAACACAAGAACAGAAAACCATACATCACATGTTCTCACTCAAAAGTTGGTGTTGAACAATGAGAACACATGGACACAGGGAGGGGAACATCACACACTGGGGCCTGTTGGGGGGTTGAGGGCCTAGGGAATGGAGAGCAGGGGGTGGGGGGACTGGGGGGGATAACATTAGGATAAATGCCTAATGCAGGTGACAGGGGGAAGGAGGCAGCAAACCACCATGGCATGTGCATACCCATGTAACAATCCCACATGATCTGCACATGTGCCCCAGAACTTAAAGTGTACTAAAAATAAACAACCTGGAGACTGGCCTTGGAGGGCTGAGCGGGACACAAAGTGTCCTGTCCTCATGAGGCCTTCAGTTGGGACAAGTGAAAAGCAAATAAGCAATGAAACATCAGTCAGCAAAGAGGAGAAACTGAGGCAAGTCAGAGGGAGCACGGACCTGGGCAGGTGGAGTCTCGGCGTGTGAGAACGGCCGGGCACGCGGCCCCTGTGCCTTCGAGGCCCTGAGTCCCTGCTGGGCAGGCACCGCCTGGGCTGGGCTCAACCCCTCCCATTACAGCAAGCAGCGTGAGACAGCGCCCAGGACAGCACTGTGGGGCCGTGGGGGAGAGGGCAGAAAGGAACAGGGGTCTGAGGGAAATGCTTCCAGCCAGGACTTTGATCCCCACATCGACTGTCCCCACTCAGGCCGAGGGGAGCGAGGCCACCTGCCGTGCGTGTGAGCTCAGAGGCCGGCCACACCCCCTGCTGAGGGGCTTGGCGACTGTCAGCGTCCCAGGAAGAGGAGGGTCAGAGCCACCAACACCCTGAGGAAGGGGCAGACGCGGGAACCCACGGTCGGCCACCACACGGGAGTGAGGCCATGGGCGCTTGGGAGGGCCGAGGGCCAGCCCAGGAGGTTCTGGAGGGAAGAGCAGAACCTGTCTCAGCTCAACCCAGGCCCTTCTGCACCGAGAGGTGGGCAGCGTCGACCTCGCACTCCAGCTGCTGGACACGCGTGGGGAGCCCCGCTCTGCCTGCGGTGCATGCCGAGGGGTCTCACACGGGACTGCCTCAGAGCCAGCTCCCAGGCTTCGGTGTCTGGACAGGAGGGTGCGGGTGGGGGGGGAGGGGCTCAGAACACCCCTCGGGGCTGCAGAGGGGTCGGGCCCCAGCACACCACAGACAGCAGAGCCCCCTCTGGCGGCCCCAGAGCCCATCCAAGGTCACTGCTCTGGGTTCTTGTAGTTTTGGCTCACCTCAAACATGCATTAACTTAACAAAATATTTTAAAAAGGTTTTTAAACTAAAAATGACAGAACGAATTAGGCATGCTGTGCCCCTGTGGGAGGAGAGTCAGGCTGCTCGGGGTCTGGAGGAGCAGGACGGGTGGCCACACACTGGGGCGGGAGGAGGAGACCGAGCCGCGCTGTCTGTGCTCAGCATGCCCGCCCCTTCCTCCTGCCTCTAATCGAGGGCTCTGCCTGCAGGCGCTGCCTGAATTCTGACCGTGCCCATGGAACAAACCCTCCATGCCTGTCGGCAACCAGGTGCCCCTCCCTCGCCCCTTCACTCCCTCCCCTTTATCGCCACCACGGCCCCTTGTTCACTGCTCACACCCAGGTGGGGATGGCATCGACAGCCCACACGGCTGCTCTCCACGTGGACGGCTGGAGGGTGGCTAAGCCTTGCTGGCGGAGGAGGCTGGTGGACAGGCTGTGCAGGAATGCCAGGTCGGGGGCAGACGCAGAGCCGCCACCCTCTCAGCTCATCACCCCTCCCTGGGGCCGGAGACCCCAGAGTTGGCCCTCAGCCCTGCTCAGGCCCAGCCCTCCCCAGGAGCCTCTGTCCTGGCCGCAGGTGTCCTGAAGGCCCCCTGGGCTGTGCTGGGCTGGACCAGTCCGGGGGTGACCTCTGACAGCTCCACCTGCCCTGGAGTAGCCACCAGCAAGAGGGGCCTCAGCCCTCTCACCCTTGAAGGGCTGCAGCCCGCCATCTCCCTCGCACCCGGACGGCCTCGTGCAGGCACAGCCCGAGGGAGAAGCTGTCTCTGTGGGGACAGATGCTCCCTGATGGCGGCGCGTGGACTGCACCGGAACCCGGGGGGCACTCCTCGAGAAGTGACCGGCTCGGGGTATCAGGCTCCCACATCACACTCAACCCAAACCTGGCAACCTGGGTCCCCGGAGCCCGGCGTGCCTCTGCCTGTCAGCGGCCGGTGCTTGTGCCCTGGAGAACTCCGTTGGTGGATGACGACGGCCTCCCTGGAGATTTGGAGGCCGGGGGCCTGGGAGGGGGCCGCTCCCTCTTCT